GAGCCGGGGGGGGGGCGCCCCCCCCCCACGCCGGGTTCCGGGGTTCCGCACCCCCCCATGCCAGGCCCCGGAGGCTCGCACCCCCCTCCCGGGGGGCAGGGCCAGAGCATCCTTCCCTCTGCCCCTCTGCAGGAGCAAGGGGTGTAACTCTCTCCCTCCCCGCTCCTCATCCCCGCGGGACAGGGGCCAGAGGGATAGGGAATAGGGTTACAGCCTCGGGGGACAGGGTCATAGGGTGGGGCCAGGCAGGGCTGGGGGGTGGAGCAGGGTGGAATGTCAGGGGGAACAAAGGGGTTGTGATAAGGGTTATGGGTGGGAACCGGTGGGTAGGAGGGATTATGGGTAGGAGAAAGGGGGTACACAGGGGGATTCACCATGTGGCCGGGTAACACGTGGCCAGTGCCATTTTGACTCTGCACATGTTCTTGAGTAAGTTCAGCCGAGCCCTCCCCTCCTTGCGAGGAGAATTGTAAGCTATGTTTTTCGGGGTTTTCTGCGGGGAGGGAAGGGTACGGGCAGGAGTTTTTGTCTGCCTGTAATGCCTCAGACAAACCCTCTGATGGGGGGGCCGAGGGAAGGGGGGGGAAAGAGCGAGCCGGAGGCTTTAGCCTCTGTAGAATGGCTTTCCAAATTAAAAGAAACAGTGGGAGGTATTTGCCAGCTGTGCTGTCCACCAATTCAACTTGCATAGTAAGGGCTTGTCCAACCTTTTCCCAGTCAGGCAGGGAATCAACATTCAAATCCGGAAAATGCAAAAAAACCCATTTTACTAATTTCCTCAGCTTATTTTTTGAATTATCAATTCCAGCCTTTAAAATATTCTTAATATGGGAATATCTATTCCTTTCCTGTGTAGACAAAAAGGAACCCATGGCCAATCTTAAGGCTTTGCTACACAGACTGGTCTAACCCTTTTTTTACCTCCGAGAAAAGCAGAAAAGATCCAAACTGCGGTCAGGGTTTAAAACCACCGCGGAGCCCCGGACGCGCCGCCGGTACACCCCCCACACACACCACATGTGCAGCCACGTGGGCTCCCTCGGTCCCGATACTGGGGAGAGGCTCTGGCACCGGCACCACCACCACCGTGACTCGCAAAACCCCACAACAACCGCTGGATCTCCCGCACCCCCCTGCGCCCCCCCAGTACCTGTTTCCTGAAGGACGCGCGGTGTTCAAAGAAAAGAAAAAAAAAAAGGTTCTCAGTCCGAGTTGACTCGTGTACTCACCGAGCTACCAACTCGATCCCCGTCAGTAAAAACTGTGGGGTAGGTGACAGTACCTAGGCTTGTTAGAACACCCGTGGGGTGTTTTCCAGCCATTCCGAGGGGATCTAAAGCCCCTACGTTGGTCGCCACCTTAAGCGATCTTCCCTTAGTCCCACCCGAAGTAATCCGGCTAGCTCTGTTGAATGGAGGGGTCAGGGAGATCCTTCACGACCAAGACCAAAAAGTGCTGCTTCTCCCTCCAGGGTAACGGAGGATGTTTATTCTGGCTGGATTCCAGGGGAGAAGAGACCGGGTTTCTCCTTCCCGGACTTTTTCAAACCTCGGGAGAGGGGCAGGGGGACATATAACACCAACCAATGGGATAACATTTCAGGGACAGGGAGGGGAGGGGAAAAACACATCACAGCTGCCTAGAAGGTCCGCAAAGAAACTAGGTAACTCCCAGAAATATGCACCACCACATACATGGACAGAGGCACTCTGAGATATATCATCAACAAGACTCAAATGTCTGAAGGAGAGATTGTAGCTGTCAGTTGGGAGGTCAGAGATCCCACCTGTGGTTCTGAGGGCTTGGGCAGGATTGTCTGGAAAACAGGGGCTCAGAACAGGAGTGATTTCATATGCCAAGCTTTGTTTCTGTGTTGCTAGTATGCTATGGGCAAGCAAGACTTTCAAGAGTCTGCCAGTGCCCCAACACTCACTGTACTATTATCTCCTGCTGTTGTATTCTAGCTCTGTGTCTTGTATTTGGATTTGCTGTTCTCCACCTTTCGTCTCTAAACATCTGCCTTGAGTCTGTCTGCACTGCTTTCCTTTCCTGTAAAAGTGAAGGTGCTAGTTGGCAGGACTTGAAATGAACAGCAGAGGAGAAAAAGAGACTAATTTCTCACAGTCCTCAGCTGAAAAAGACAACAGTGCAGCCAAAATGCTGTTTGCTTCTGAGCACACCCACTGCAGCTGCAGTCACTCTGGCTGGTTTGCAGGGAACAATCTACAACAGCAGTTGCTGGTGCTCCTTCAAAAGCTGGCATGTCTTTCCTGAGAAAGGTCCTGCCCTGCTAGTGCTGGAGCAACAGACTCTTCCTCTCAATGGCACTGTGTTCTGCCATTCCCGTTCCCCATTCCCCTGGAAAGGGAATTTTTAGAGCTTTGGGGTGCTTATTAGCACATTGGAAACAGGGTAACTTTGGGGAAGAGTTACATAAGGCTAACCTGATTGATTATTGTAATACATGGTGGCCAGGATATGTCCTGGACATATGGGGAAAAGTGTCCAAGGAATGGATCTTTGCAATATAACACCATTTTACAGTTGATGCCTTTCTGTAAATGAGAGGGGAATTGGGATGAAGTTCCTTATGTTGATTTGTTTTTCTATCTGCAAGATAAGCCAGAATGGCAGACTCAGTGTGGATTGATGGTGGTTAAGGC